TCAGAGAATCCCTGTTCTGCTGAATTGGAGCAATCCTTCTGTCCATTGATTTTACAACACTGCATGAGTCTTTACTACTGGAGGTTTTAATAAATTTATGAGTTCGTGCCAGTGCTGTGTACATCCTCCCTTGCCCTGAAGATGGGTATGCATTAATTAAAGTACAGACTGTTAATTTTACATTTGAACTAATTGAGAAGTAGTTAATGAGCCTTACTAAATATTGTTTGCGTTTTCTGGTGACTGACATCAGGAGAGAAAATTGAAGGAAATGCAATGCAGTTTACCAAAACTGACAGTGGATGACAGGCTAAACACTTAGGATATGTACAGCTACAATGATCAATACTATTTAACTTACTAAAAAACATTTCATTTATTTATATTTACATATAATGCAAATTTGGGATTTACTAAAACATTTATGATTATATTCATTTTAATGACTGACAACATAATTTAGTTTCAAATTAACACAAACTGCATTGCCCAATTACCCTAAGGATAAATCTGATATAAGTGCAGCATATATGAAAATACTGAGCTACATTCAATGTGTTGGTGATTAATTAAAATTTTAGACTGGTTTCAGACTTTCGTGGTAAATGTGATGCATAAAAGCTTGTTATGTTGCATTAAGACAGCCCTTTCATTATGAATAGGCTGCCTAAGTAAGGCAATTGATCAAAAAGCATATATTACACTTTTTTAAACACAGAGCACTACAAAAAATGTGCCCTGTTACACAGGCATATTGTCTTCTACTCTAATTGCGTGTTGTATGCCATTTTGATTGCTAAATGAATGGGACTCCAACACAATGCACAAGGTGCCATACATTGCCATATCTTGCATTAATGAGCAGTAAAATATGTGTTTTACAGTGCATTTCCACAACTCACAGGTCTTAATGGGCTATAATCAACCTGTAAACCATGGCAATGAACCAAAAAGCATAGCTGGCCTTTTAGAAACAGAGAGCTCCACAACGCATGGCATGTGCATTGTGGTGCCCTATTACACATGCACAGAGGGGTAGATTTACTAAAACTGGAGCACACAGCACTGTATATACTTTTTTTAGTTGTGTGTTGTATAGTTAACTGACAATTGAGACAGTCTTTGCATCATGCAACGCTGTACATAAATGAAATGTATGTCCTTTTTTCCCACAAATAGAGCTTTCTTTTGGTGCTATTTGATCACCTGTGTGTTTTTGTGAAAAAAAAAACATTTTTTTTTTACTTTTTGCTATAAAACATATCCAAAAAAAAAAAATCAAATCTCATCATAAAATTTAGGCCAAAATGTATTCTGCTAAAAAAATTCCAATACATGTAAATGAATTGGTTTACATGAAAGTTATAGCATCTACAAATGGCAGTATATACACCGGAATTTAAAAAATAAATTTTTATACTAGCAATGGCGGCGTTCAGAGACTTATAGCAGGACTGTGGGACTGCGGTGGGTATTCTGACACTGGGGGGGGGGGGGCTGACTAACTGCCACTGACATCCCAACAACACTAATACAGTGATCAGTGCTAATAAAAAGCACTGACACTGTACTTATGACACTGGGCAGGAAGGGGTTAAAATCAGGGGCAAAGGGTTAACTGTGTGTTGTTTTACATAATGTGCTGTGTGTGTTTTACTAGGGAAACATGCTGCTGTGTATTTTTCTGCTCTGCAGAGAAATGCACAACAGCATGTTATTGCTGATAGGAGACACTCCTGTGTTGTTTACACACAGGTCTCTCCCCTGTCACTGTTTCTCAGTGATCGCCGGGTGCCGGCGGAGAATCTCCAGCTGGGACCCAGTGATCGACATCTGAAGCTGCCAATGGTGGCACGGGTAGGGCGGAGTGCAGGCATGCCCTCTACCTGGAAATGCAAAATCACACACATATATATATATATATATATATGTGTGTGTGATTTTAAGCAGTCCTGCTGCCCTGTAGCAGTGTTTCTGCTATAGGACGGTGGGGGAGTGGTTAATGAGCAGTAAAACATGTGTTACCACAACTCACAAGTCTTAATGGGCTCTATTCAACCTGTAAACCAACACAGTTTAATAATAAAAAAAAAAAAAAAAGACTTTTACATAGGATATGCATTTACTTTGAAAAAAAAACCCTTTATTGCAAATTTCTGTGTTTTTTTTCTAAGTTGGATTCAGTGAGACATTTTTCAAAAAGAGAAAAGTTAAAAAGTTACAAAATTTAAACATGCAGTAGTGTCAGCTTTAAACTTTTGCCAATTATATTTTACTAAGTAATTTCAGTTACTAATGAATATTTAAGCCCATCCCCCCACCACATGAAGTTGAAGACAGGGTTATAGTCATCTAGGCAAACATAATTGACTTTCACTGCCAAGGCCTGCCTACGGGCTGCAGTTCTCTGAAGTCAGACATTAGATGGGCTCGGTCCCACAGAATGTTGGCTAAACCCATATTTGTTTCAAAAGGTTTAAAGGCTAAGTTTGCCTTTAAAATGGAACAAAACCATTCTCTGTTTTACAGCCAAGGAAGCTGACATCCTGGCCTCTGTTGATCTGTCTAGTAAAAGAAAATGTGACAGTTAAATTCAAGGCATGCTCTCAATGATAACTGTTTTGGAAAACAGTTAAATCAATGGGTTTAGTTTCGCTTATAAATAAATAAATAAACAATAAATGCACATGTTTTTTGCAGGTAATAAAATGTGAATGCATTATTTTTTTTTGGCAGATGGGATTTGTAGTTCATTCATTCACAGATTCCTGTAAATGAATGATGCAGCTGTGTGGGTGAGACTCCACACAGCTATGCTATTTTTAAATTGTGACAGCCAATGCGGGGAAAAGAATCCCTGCCCGTGGTCATAGGGGAAGATAGGAAGGTGAGAGGACTTGTACATAGTAACATGTTACAGTATGTGTTACTCCCTAAATACCTGTGTAATATGTAACAGGTTACTAAAGTTGAATTTAGCACTGAGCAGGCCTAGACAGTAAAAAGGTGATGATGATACTTTTGACTAAAGTCTGTAATACTATTTTAAAATCTAATCAATGAACTGTATCTTATTTTTTTTATTTTTGTTTTGTGTATTTCAATAATGTTGTACATAACATAAAAGGAATACAAATTCAATAGAGAAGATGGGACTTTCATGGGTGTATGAACATGAATACCAAACATATTAAAAAGTTATATAATTGTTATTTTGTATTTTTTAAAAAAAAAAGGGAAAAATTACAGAAACATAACAATTTGAGTACTAAGAGTGGAACTGAGATTCAAAGTTGATTATATATATTTGTAGTAACTGTTTTTGTTTTTAAAAACACAAAATAAAAATTATATAACTCATGGTTTGGTATTCATGTTTATGCACCCTGAAAGTTCCATCTTCTCTATTGAATATTTGCAATTTTAAGGGATGTGGTGCAATAATCATATCTGGCCGCTCGCTAGACACTTTACTGTTCCTATAAAAGGAATAAAGTTACATAAAATAAGAAGCAATGGGGGAGATTTACTAAAACTGGAGCACTCATAATTTGGTGTATAGTAACCAATCAGCTTCTAATTTTAGATTGTTCAATTAAACTTTGACAATAAAACCTTGAAGCTGATTGGATACTATGCACAGCTGCACCAGACTCTGTGTGTGCACCAGTTTCAGTAAATCCCCCCCTAATGTCTTTCATAGTTTCATAGTTTTCCCATTCTCATGTGACATTGTCATTTCTGACTTGTGTTCCTTCAAAGTTATATTGCACATTGCTCTTACTTTGGCTTATATTTTAACATATTTGTATTTTCATTATGTTTCTAGTATTTTTTTTTTCAAATGAGAACACTTAAAATGGAGTCTAGTGTCTATCCAATCTATAGAAGGTATGACTGAGAACTGGCTGTGTTGACTTTTTCTTCTCTTTCATTTCTTTCATACCGGTTTCCATGTTTATTAGAATAGCAATGTGTACCAAATTATGTGTTTGTGTTTCGTCAGCTCAAGTAGCTTTTCAGCACTTTAGCATTCCATTATGTATAAAGTATATAGCAGCTGTAACAGAAACAATCTAAATAGAATGACTTAGAATAATTTACACAGCTTGAGAAAAGACACCCTTCTTGGTTTCAAATATGAAAGATGCACACACAAAACCACTTCTATATTAACCACTTCCCACCTGCCCACAATGTACTGTGGCCAGGCAGTAGCTACAGGCAAAGTAACATACGGGCAACAGGCAAAGCGCTCCCCACCCACGACTGCTGTGTCTGGCGGACACAGCAGAATGAAGTTCCCATTGAACGGGACCGTGATCATGTGATTGCTATGCGATTACATCATCACAATGTTCGCAAAGCTGCTTTGAATCAATCTGATTCATAACAGCTCTATTATAGTGAGCTATGATTGGCCCACAGCTGTCACATGATACACAGGGCCAATCACAGCACCCTGTACCATGTGACTAGCTCCAGCCAATCACAGATCACGATCTTGAGCTGTCAAAAACCTAACTCATTCATGACAGTTCATGAATGAGTTAGGTTCATGACAGCAAGCTTTGCATTGCAGGAGCAATGATCTTTATTTCTCCTGCAAAGCAAAGTGTAAAAAAAAAAACCCTGATCACCCCCCAGTAGTACAATGTTACTATGGTATGATACTAGTCTGGTAAAAGTATTTAAAAAATAAATAAAAAAGTTTTAAAAAATAAAATATAAAATACCATATTGATAAGTAAAGAAAAAAAAATAAGGTTTTTTTTTTTTAACTGCTTGCCGACCGTTTACCCACATTTTGCAGGTGAGGAGCGGCTCTGGGCAAAGAGATGTAATCTCTTACGTTGTTTTCTATTTCAAGGTGCAAATGCGCCTGCGCCCCCCACTGCCCCCCCAGTTGGTCCAGGGAGAGAAGAGAGAAGACCGCACCAAGTAAAAGCACTAAATTTTACACACACATTTAACCCTTTGATCACCCCTATTAACCCTTTGATTGCCCTGTCATACAGCCAGTGCCAATAGTACAGTGGCACTGTATTCTTGCCGCTAGCAACATCAGATAGCGTCAGGGTCAGTAAATGCCCCTCCCAGCCAGGGTCAGCTAGCATTAGATTGCCCACACACTATCACACTCACACTATAGGTCGCTGATCACCGTCATTACTAGTATAGTGTTTTTATGGATCAATATAATGATCATGAACAGAACTATACTAGTGCCTGCTGTGTAAATGCAGTGTTAGCAGAATCGGCACCGTTTGCTGTTAGCACTAGCATTTAGCCCCTCTGCTGTTTTTTCACAGAAGATTTCTACCAATTGATTGTGGGCCAAAGCAATTTATACACAAAACAATGCATTGCCGCCCGCCGCCAAATTCATCTCTTGCTAGACAATTCGCATGAATTCAAATTAATTGCAGTCATATTGTTCCACAGACTCAATTCATCATATGCCCATGTTCTCTGCTGTTACATATATGCCCAACATGGACTAGCAATGTACTGGTATGTCACTGGACTTCGAGTGGTTATACTGGGATGATGCCTGCAGCTACAGGCTGACCATAGAGCTGATCAGAGACCAGAATGGCTCCAATTATCTCTATGGTCCAAGAGACCGGAAACTATGAGCATTTCATCATTTCCGTTTCGCCGGATTTTAACTGCGCCATTTTTAAATTGGGAAAGCATCTGATCACTCCAGTCTTGGTGTGATCAGATGCTTTAAGGGCAGAGGAGATATCTATATATCTTGAGTCTAGTAGACCCAGATTTCTCAGAAAAGAATACCTGTCACTGCCTATTGCTATCACTAGGGATATTTACATTCCCTGTGATAACAATAAAAGTGATCAAAAGAAAAAGAAAGGGACAGTGTAAAAATAAAAAAATAAACAAAATTGCAAAAAGAAAAAAAAAAAATGTACCCTTCCCATGCTTGTGTGCAGAGGCAAACACAAGCGTTGGTCCCGTGTTGGTATGTAAACAGAGATTTCACCATGCATGTGAAGTATTACCATGAACATCAGATAGAGGGCAGTAATTATAACATTAGACCTCCTGTGTAAACATAAATTGATGACCTGTAAAGGCTTTTAAAGCATCAAACTTAAAACTGTATGTACTTTTGTCACCATTGCACTGGCATGCGGAATTTTAAAGCATGTCATGTTTGGTATCTATTTATTTGGCCTAACATCATCTTTTATATCTTATCAAACAATTGGGCAATATATTGTGTTTTTGTGCATTCAAATTCTAAAAGTGTATTTTGAAAAATCGAGGCGCAAATACTGTGTGACGTAAAAAAATTTCAACATCCAAGTTTTATTCTCTAGGGCCTCTGCTTTAAAAAATATATAATGTTTGGGGGTTCAGAGTAATTTTCTAGCAAAAAAACTGTTTTTTCATGTGAACACAAAGTGTCAGAAAAGGCTTGGTCTTCAAGAGTGGTTATGTGTGACATAAGCTTCTAATGTTGGCCCTGAAATGCCAGAATAGTTCAAGCAACCCCTCCAAATTACTCCTTTTTAGAAAGTAGACATTCCAAGGTATTTTCTCTTTTTTTTTTTTTTTACAAACGATTTTATTGTACATAAGTAGACAGTAACACAACAGCACAGTATGAAAGTGATATTGTCAACAAAAATATGGCACATTTGAAATGTACAATACAAATTATATTAACATAAAAAAGAAGATAGAGGAAGAAAGAAAGTTATGAGTGCATGAGATACATAAATGATAAATAGATTGAGTGATACATCTATCAACAAATATATGTCAGCCATTCTCTACCGGGATGTTGTCAATCATGCAATAAATGTCTACAATCCTTCCATGACTCCCATTTTTTATCGTATAAGTGCATCTTATCCAGTAGTGTATAATGAATACGTTTCCATAAGCATTACAGCGTCAATTCTGTGTAAAACGGAGTCCAAGGGTACAACATTAGACCGCCAATGCAGGGCAATGGACCATAAAGTGGCAATACATAATGTATGTAGCAATCTCAGAGTGGCATCAGGGACCCCTGGGATATGAACCCCCAATAAACAGGTCTGTATGGACAACTGCGTCGGGTTGCCCGATAGTGAGGTAGCCACCTCAGATATCTTAACGCCAGATCAAAGATATGTTCGGGCAATCCCAAAACAGATGGACCAAAGTACCTGTACGGCCACAGCCCCGGAAACATAAAGGGGATGTTTGTGGAAACATTGTATGTAGTTCTGGACGGAGTATAATACCATCTGGTTAAAACTTTAAGGGCCGTCTCACGAACCGAAAGAGATCTAGAGCTCTTGCATATATTATCCACCATGGAGTCCCAATCCTCATCCGAAAAAGTGATACCACAATCCTCCTCCCACCTCTGCCTGTACATAGGGGGAGCATGAAAAAGACAGATCAAAAATTGGTGATAAAGATCTGAAATAAGACCCTTACCTCTAGGAGAGTCACGGCTGACACGCTCAAAAAAAGAGATCGGAGAAGACGGGGTAAGGCCAAAGTGCGCATTAAAAAAGTGCCTAATCTGTCTATAACGGAGGTACTCACGAAGAGGAACATCAAATAACACTGCGCAGCATATCGAAGGTAATATAAGATCCTCCTCTTTGGAAATCAGATAATCTGATAAAGGATCGATCATACCACCAACGAAACATGTGAGGGGAGGAAAAGGCTATAACAAAAGTAGGATCACCAAAAAATGAAACACCTGGGGGAATATGAGAGACTAAACTCAGCTTAGCCTTGTATTTGGACCAAAGTGTCAGCGAGTGGTCACTATAGAGTTATGAAAAGTAAGCGATCGGGGGGAGATTTTAGACCATCAAAATTCCCGGTAAATAAAAAGGACGTATCGACTGAGACTCAAACTTGATCCACGGGATTTGAGAGTTTAAGTAGTAGCCCATTGTGTAATTGCGCTAATTGCGCAAAACGAGACGAGAGGTAATATAGCCAAAAGTTAGGAAGACCAAGGACCTCCCGTCCGTTGTGAACGATACAAAATGGATGAGGCAAAACGTGGATGCTTATATTTCCCCAAATAAAATTGTTAATTAATCCGCTTGGTCTTGAAAATGATCCAAAAAACGTTTTTGAAACCGGAACTGAAGTGCTCTAAAAAGATAAAGCAGTTTTGGGCAAGATATTCATTTTAATAACCGCCGTGACTCTACCCCAGAAAGGGAGATATGATAACCATGCCAAATCTTCAGTAGGCGAGTAGAGAGACTCGAGTGACACACATGATGGGATAATAGCCGTAAACATATCTCCGAGTATCTGGGGTAAGATTAATCCCAAATAGGATATCCTGTCCTTGACCCAGCTGAAATGGAAAAGAACGATACGGATGAGCATGCACTTTAGGAGTCAGGGGGGGGGGGGAACATTAAACATGGCATAATTACCTGAATTTGGTAAAATTAAACGGTGAGACCTGACACTAATAGCAAAAGTCATTCAATACTACACACAAAATTATGCAAAGAAATGTCAACGGGTTTTAGTAATAAAAATGCATAACATCATCAGCCATACATGCTCAGCTTTAAAGTGTGAAACCATAATAACGAATAGCCAGAAATATCCTGAATGTGATATTGATCTGCCAATGCCTCAAAGTGAATCCAACCACCCAGCGCAAACAAAAGGGAGCGAAAGAGGACAACCCTGACAGCGGTACCTCTACCCATGTAAAAAAGTTCAGAGTTACAGGCCAGGAAGCCTTATTCGTGTTTTAGGGGAGAGATCGTATAGCATAGGGTTGTAATGCCAGCCAAATACCCATCACTGAAGCCCTTTTTTCTGTAGCAAAAGAGAGACACTTAGGCATGCAATGAACACTTGTCAATAGGCCCTTTTGTGTATGTCTTAGACTCATTAACTGAACCTCTTTGGAATGTAAATTGATGCATCTTGAATAACGTTTTAGAGTGAGACGGATTATGTTATTCAGTAATAAATCTGTCCGGGAATAAAACCCGACAGGTCTGCCGAGATAGATACCAAAGACGGCGATTAATAGGAGCCAAACCTGTCTGCCCAAAATGCCGGCCTAAATATCTTTCAGGAATCGTTTTATTCATCTACTGAGGATTGGTCCCTATAGTTTTGCCGGCAAAACAGTGGTCTTTCTGTGGCTTTGGGCTATATAGAGACATGTTAGCTGTAAACAACATCTCATCGGGTAACTTACCCCCGCCTGATAAAACATCAATTAAATAGTGTTAATCAAGTATGAGCCAATATAGAGGTAAAATGTTTATAATATGCCAGCAGTAAATCCATCAGGACCCGGGGTGCAGTCAGAGCGTTTCAGCGTTTCCTTATTGCCATCAGAGTAATTTCCTCTAAAGTACATGGGTGTATTAAGATAGGCAATCTGAAGAAGGTGTTGAGAGCAGGAAGGATTAATATAGCAAGTCCCACCCATTATGAATTATGATAGAGAGAAACAGATATCCGACTTGTGGAGATGCCAGTAGTGTAGAATAAAAAATTTGTCAAAAAATTAACTCCAAGAACTTCCTTGTGGTAACAGAAAGAGTTAGCACCATGAATTAGTACGCAATTTAGACACATGTGGTGGGCGCGAAAGAATGTTTCAATTTCCTGTGCAAACATGAGTTAGATGCTGAGATTGCTATAGTAAGAAGGTACGATGCCTAAGTTCGACCATCGGAGAGGCTCTTTCAGTTTTTTGGGAAAGTAAGGGCATTCAGACCTACCAAGAGCGGTTTTTGGGACCAATAGCTGTTGATTGAGCAAAGATGGTGATCAAGCTACAATGGCTTCATATAGTGATTGCTATCTAATTCTCGGGTTTAGACAGTAAGTATAAAACTCTGCAGCCATACGTTTTTTATTTTTCTAGTCTCTGGCCGAAGCCATAGAGTACTAAGTTCGGCTCCCGTAGGAAGCCGCCTTGTGGTGCGTACCCAGAGTCGTAGCGGGCTTGGGAAATATCAGGGGATGAATTAGATTGTGAAAGTATTCCTTGAAGAGATGTAACTCCCACCGTGCCGAGAGTCGAGTAATCATGTTAACATTAGAATCATTAAGTCTCATGATAAAGGTGAGTAGGTTGCAACCAATCTCACAAACGTGATAGATAAGGGCCATAATACTGTGATCCGACCAAGTTCGTCTCAAATGAATACTAGCTATCATAGAATTAAGCCAGGCAAATATAGGCAGGTACTAAAGATATAGTCGTAGATCTAGCATAGAAGAGTCACGTGGTGGGTGAGGAATAAAAAATGTGTAATCCCTGGCTCCCGTGTTGTGCGCTCTCCAAGGCATCCACCAACTGGAGGCATCTAGTTTTCCTAGTAAGGGATTTTGGAAGGAAAGCTTGGGAAGTATGCGATGGCGGAGTCTACGGTCCAAAAGAGGACTTTGCCACCAGATTAATAATCCCCACCCACCAATAGATGGGGACAAAAATTTATCCCAAGCACAAAAAATTTAAAAAAAAAAGGTAGCCCTGTGGTCGAATTTTGGTGCATATAGACATTAGCAATTGTAGTTCACGACCTGAAAGGGTCTGCCCTTAAGAATAATAAACCTACTGTCCCTGGATCACGATACCACATGTTGAACCTCAAAGGGAAATGAGTTATGTGTAGAAAAAATGGCCACTCCCCTACTCTTGGAGGAATGTCTGGGTATAATACCCCTGTTCTATAGGATCTATGAAAAAAGGTTGGCGTGAGTTTTTGCGCCGGCTGCAAAATGCGTTTCCTGTAAATATAGATGATTTTTGCTCCTAATCTTTTATATTGAAGAAAGGCTGTTTTTGCGCTTTATTTGGCGATTGAAACCTGGACCATTATGCGAAATAATCATTGAATTGCCATAATAAACAGAGCTTGCCACTAATCATTCATAAAAGTACACATTACAAAGATATCCCCTAAGGTTATTTGACTATGACATAAAAACCGCAGGTCCGTATCAGACAGACATACAGGTGGCAGTCAAGACCAGCCTTGGGGACGTCTCCAGTGCACCCCCAACATAGGGTCGTGATGTCTCACAGGACCGCCTCGTGTGTGTGTGTGTGTGTAATACCATCCTCATACCACTAAAGTTTTGAGAGAAGTGCGAGAAAACGGAAACAATAGAGAAGAAGCTTTAATATCTTCTCTATATTTGAAAGGGTAACTGAAGAACATGGATCAGGCAGAAAAATCGTCATACCTGATAAACAAACAAAGTTCAAACATTAAGGGGCCACATGGGCCCAAACCCTGTCTCCTTAGAACATGGAAAACAGAGCTGCCACCCCGCAATCGGGCGGCGACACCTCCGGCCATGTCAGGAGGCTAGGGTGGGGTAACGTGTCAAAGAGTAGTACAACCATGAATTAATGGGCGCAAATTAGGAGGGTCCAAAGACCCTTGTTATACCTTAACTCGTCCAGTTATCAATGCAAGGCATACAAAATATTCAGTATTGCAAAAATATCACAGCAGCAACCACAGAAATTATACAACCTGACAATGTAAGAAATAGAGAGCAAAATCCCTGTGTCCCAAATCTTAGTAAATGTCATAAAAAACAATAGATCAGACCAAAGACTATCAAAGACAATGAGTATTAGGCAAGTGAGAATGGGCCCCTGTCAACCCGGTTCTTGCCTGACTCTCCTTCTATCCCTCCGTGGGGGAAGGGGGTATGCCAAATGGGAGAGATACGAGGGGTGGGGGGTACAACTGGGTGGGCGTTGAAGGTGATGGGGCATCGCCAAGCCTAATTTGGCCAAGATTGCTCTACCTTCGGGAGGGGGATGTAGCGATATATATGTGCTCCCATTGTGTGGGAACTATCAGCTTAAAAGGAAGCCCCAACTTGTACGGATACGAGCAGAGAACAGGGCAGTTGTAACTTCTTTCATTTTTCCTACGCCTCTCCATCGTGGCCGGAGAAACATCAGGATAGATTTGTAAAACCGAGCCTATCAAAGGAGAATCGTTGGAGTAGCGGAGTATGCGAGCAGCTCTGAGTATTTCTTCTTCCTTGGTCAGAAAATCCTTCATGCACAGGACAATATCCCTAGTCGGTCTTGTCAGCAGGAGGTTTAGGGCGTAAGGGCTCTGTGGATGCGGTCAACAAGCAAAAAGATCCAGGTCACGATCTGGAAGGAGTGACTTGAATAACTTGATTATAATATTAATGAAAGATCCGACATAGACTCCGGATTCCCCTGATTCGCAGATTATTCCCTGCGATTGCGATTATCAAGATCCTCAACCTGCGCCTGCAGTTGTGAAAAGGCCGTTTGTAAATGGTCATGCTCTCTGGAAAGTTCACCATAGGCCAGGCTAAGTTCATCGTGTTTGGTTTCCAAGCGGTCTGTCCTAGAGCCCAGCGTGGCTATTTCCTGAGAGAGAACATTAGTGCTTTTATGCAATTCTGATTGAAATTTGGCGGCTAGTTTGGTGTACATAGATTCCAAGCCGGACTCCAAGTCCCCTTTTGTGAGTTGTTGTGTATTTCGCTGATCAAGGCCGATAAGGGAACGGTGGTGTCCCGTGCTGGATCGGACAGGGATGCTTGCTCTGTATTGACTGGAGACATGCCGCAAATCTCGTGAGCCTTAAGGAGGTATGTCGTGAGGGACTTCTGAGTGAGCTTGTCCCTTTTTTTTTCTTGGTGGACGGCATACAAAGAATCTCCCGGGGGTGATCAACTGAAAATTGGAAAAGTGAATGGGAGATTATAACCCCAGGGGACCTATAGCGCCCAATATAGGTTCAGGGTTGTAGTTACATGGATGCTGTCAAACCCATCTGCGATAACATTATATTGTAAAAATATTCAGCAAGCCTTGAAAGGGTAAATAGAACATAAGTCACAGCAACCAGCAAAAATTTCACTCCGGACAGGATGATAGCACCAGATCCCAACTCAGGACACGAGAGGGATGGGTGGGAAGCAGGAAGCAGAGGACCTCTGATTCTGAGCACAGGGCCCCGCAAGGGAGACACCCCCTGGGGCAGTATCAAGGCCCAGTAGGCCTCTGAGCCCAGCAAGGGCCACAGACAGAGAAGATGATGGGCTCTGGGCTATTAATGTGAGGCCCACTCCCCAAATCACTGTGGGGAGATCATAATATCAGGATGCCACCTGTACCCCCACACTCACTGTGATCAGGCAAAAGGAGGCTTCTGGCAGATGGTGTAGGCCGTAATCGTCGCCGCCGCCGCGGGAAGCAGCAACACTCAGCGACGTCCCTCTCTCAGCCTCTGTTATGCAGAGGACGCTGCAGACGTCCTCGGGTGATCCCCCACAGCCCGGATGGCAGCGGATGCGGATAGGAGGTGCCGGAGCCCCGGCCCATGCGGCCGCACCAGGCCGCGAACGTCCGCCGCCACGAAGGGCGGAAATATCGCCCGGATTCTACCTCCCAGGTATCCGGGATGATACCAGGGCTCTCCGCTGCTCCACTGTGGTCCGCTGCTGTACGGATGGTAGCGGATTCCGGAATATGGTGCCGGTCGCTCCGGTCGCCATCTTGGACACGCCCCCCATTCCAAGGTATTTTCTAAGGGGCATGGTGATTATTTTGCAGATCTCATTTGTGCCATATGTTTTTGGAAAATGAAGAAAGAAAACAAAAATGTATTTTTCTTTTCTTTTTCAAAACCCTGTGACAAAAATGATATCCGTAAAATACTCACCATGCCTCTTATCAAATTCCTTGGGGTGTCTACTTTCCAAAAAGGGTCATTTGGGGGGGGGGGTTTATATTATCCTGGCATTTTAGAGCCTCTGAAACTGTGATAGGTAGTGGGGAAGTGATATGAGGAAATATGCCCTGGAGGCCTGGAGGTGGTTATTGGATTTTGAGGACCTGTATGTAGCTGGGCTGACAAAAAAGTTTCTCACATGTGGTATCCCCATACTTGGGAGAAGTAGAAGAATGTGTTTTGGGGAGTAATTCCACATATACCCATGGTATGCATGTGCAATATATCATTTAATTGAAAACTTTGTGTAAAAAAAATTATTTTCAAAACATTTGTGGCAAAAAATAAACTGCTTCATGGACTCAACATGCCTCTCTGCAAAATCCTTGGGGTCTACTTTCCAAAAAGGGGTCATTTCAGGAGGGGGGTTGTACTGTCCTGGCATTTTAGCACCTCAAGAAATGTGAAAGGCAGTCAGAAAGTAAAAGTTGTGGAAATTCCAATATATATATATATATATATATATATATGTATATATATATATATATATATACACACACCATAGTTTGTAGAAGCTATAACTTTCACACAAACCAATTAATATACACGTATTTGGGATTTTTTGTTTTACCAGAGACATGTAGCACAATACTTTTTGGCCTAAATATATGACTACCTTTGAGTTTTTGAGTAAAAAACTGCAGAGGTGATCAAATACCATCAAAAGAAAGCTCTATTTGTGTGAAAAAAGGACATAAATTTTGTTTGGGTACAGCATTGCATGACTGCGCAATTACCAGTTGAAATAGTGCAGTGCCGAACAGCAAAAAATAGCCTGGTCATAAAGGGGGGTAAATCTGCCGGGGCAAGCGGTTAAAATATTAAAAATCTGTTTGTGTGAATTGTATCAGAAGGCAGCATGTAATTTATTGTCACATTAATAAAAGACTGCAGCATTTAGGTAGGTTTTAACCAGTCATCCTCCAGAAGGATTTACCCCCTTCATGACCAGGGCATTTTTTGCTATTCAGCACTGTGCTAATTTAACTGGCAATTGCGCAATATCTTTGGTTAAAAAAAATCCCAACGGGGAGTGCGCATGCGCGGCCGCCGGGATCGGATGTCCCGGTGATAGCTCCGCACACCTCCGGCGCCGATAAAAGCCCATATAAGGGCATAGTGCTGACTAGCTCCCAGGACCCCCCCCCCCCCAGACCTGGACCGGACCTCGGGGACAATATGCCGGGACAAACGGCGGGGAAGAGCCATGGAGGCTCCCAGATGCTGCTCCCTGCCGGGACTGGGAGGTGCAAGATGGCGCCCGGATCGGCGCCCACAGCTCCTGGTGCCTCCTCTGCCTCTCTCACGGCAGCACCTCTCCCCCAGAGGGAGAAAACGAGCACGTCATCCCACACTGGACCGAGGAGGCAACAGTGTCACCAACTAGGGTGAGTGACTCCCTGCGGCCCCCCTGGTCACTTTCCAGTCCTGTACCACCAGAGTCCCAGGCTTCGGCCTGTTCCTTGGGCCGTGACTCCCCTGCCTCCTCGCCATTCGAGATCGCTGCCATTTTTTCCAGCCAGCATAGCGGTACAGAGCCCGCAGATGACAGCCCGGCTTCCTCGCCAACAATTCCTCCTGACCCGCCACTGTATTCGTGTGACGCGACCTTGATAGTTTGGTTGGCAGATTTTCTGCAGTGCGAACTGGATAGAGCTACCTCAAAATTGGCGGCTGAACTTAAGCAGGATTTTCAGGTCTTGGGCCAACGTCTGAACAGAATCGAGGCTAAAGTTGATGCGACAGTCCATAGTGTCTCCCAAAATTCCAACATGATCACTGACTTGCAAGATCGCCTGGAGGAAGCATAATCTAAAATTGATGATTTAGAGAACCGGGCCAGGCGATAAAATTTTCGCATTCGAGGACTCCCTGAGTCGGTTAAGGAGCTCACTAGCTGCGCACACACCCTCATGCGGTCTGCTTTGCCCGACATTGATGACCTTCATCTTGAGATAGGTCATATTCACAGGGCATAAATCCCCCCTGGCAAGGGGGGCCTCCTAGAGATATCATCAACAAGCCTCATTTTTTACAGGTCAAGGAAGCGGTTATGCGGTATGGCAGGCGGACCTGGAGCTTACGGGGCACCAGATACAAATCTTTGCTGATGTCTCCCCGGCCATTATCCAGAACCGGTGATCCCTCAAGCCACTACTCTCTCACTTAGTTCAGAAGGGCATTAGATATCGTTGGGCCTATCCTTTTTGCCTGCAGTTCACTCTTAATGGAAAGTCCTATGGGTTTGCTACATTTCAGGATGGCGAGGAGTTGCTGCTTCAGCTGGGTGTTATCTCTCGCAGTCCGGCATCCCATTCACCTACTGGATCGCTTTTCGACCTCCGCTGCTCCCACCATTGTGGACTACGCCAAACTCTAAGAAGAAGGGGTCACGGAATCCACCTGGGAAAATCTCTTAAACTCCTGTGTCCTTTTGGGGACTTTTCACTGTGATGTTTTGATTGGTGGTGGCCTCTCTGTGGCTCCTGAGAGCGTTGGCTGCTGCTGCTGCTCTGTTGTTGTGAGGGGATTAGGGGTGGGGGCGGGACCTGGGGATTACATTACATCTGTTTGCTGAATGCCATTTCAGAAGGTTCAATTGTTTTGTTCTTATATTTTTATGTACTAAACTTTTGATTTATTGCTGATGGGTTACTGTCGGTGCCGGAGAGCATCTTTGCACTCTCCCTGACTGGAAGACTCTTCCCCGAGAACGCTTCTCTGAGCAGATCCATTCCACTACAGGGCTATTGCTCTGTATTTCCTGGTACATAGTCTGATTCATTTATATAGTATTGTTTCGTGTACCACGGTTACTTGACATTCGGACTTTTGTGTTCCAAATGTCTTTTCTTTCTCTTTCCTTTTTCTCCAATTTTTGTCTCTTTGTCTTTTTTTGTTTTCCTCCGGGGTCAGCTGGCAACATTTAGGGACTCTTAGGAACATTTTCACTCTTCAGGAACGGAGGGTCTCTATCCTGCTTAGCTCCTTAATTACTTATAATGTCTTCCCTACGGTCAACTAGATGGGGTATTTGTCTAATTTCTCACAATGTTCAGGGGCTTAATTCCCCCTCCAAACGCATACAGGCTTTTAGTTCAAACCATTCCCTTGGGGCAGATATAGTTGCCTTACAGGAGACGCATTTTCCCCCCTCCTTCTCTCCGCACTATATTCATAAAAATTACCGTCTGCTTTTTTGCTAATGCTACAGGGAAAAAACGGGGGGTGGCCCTTTGCTTTTCTCTCTAACTGTCCTTTAGCGAATCTAAAATTATCCGGGACAGGGAGGGGCGATATCTTCTGGTGAAAGGCCACTTGGGAGGAAACTAATCACTTTTCTAATTTATTATACTCCAAATACCAATCAGGTGGAATTTTTTCAGTCCCTGCTAAGCACTCTGGTTGGGGAATTTGAGGGTGATGTTATTCTGGCTGGTGACTCCAATTTAGCACTGGACCAGACTCTGGATCGTTCCCAAACCGTCACGCTTCAGCCTCCTTCTAGACGGAGCCGTAAGTTGGCCCAACTATTATATCGCTATGACTTTATTGATGCATGGAGAGAGGCTAATCCTACTTCTCAAGACTACTCCCATTACTCCAGGGCTCATAACAGTTATTCCCGCATTGATCATATTTTTCTTCATACACATTCACTCCCCAGATTTCTTACTGCTAAAATCTTCTCTACGCCCTGGTCTGACCATGACCCAGTTTCTATAACCTTGTCGTCCGGGACACCTGGTAAGATGGCTTTTCACTGGCGTCTTAATGACTCTATTTTGGGTAACCCCTCTCATTGTCGGGAAATCTCCTCACACTTACAAGCTTTCTTTGACTTCAATAAAGCAGAGGACACGAACCCGGTGGTTAATTTGGCAGCTCATAAGGCCTCGGTCAGGGGGTGTATTATTCAACTTTCTTCTCGTCTTAAAAAAGCCCGAAATGACCTACTTACCACTAAAACTCAGTCATACACTGACCTGGTTGCTCAACATAAGCAAAATCCCAGTCTTGATTTGTTACTTAAACTTGACCAGGCCCAACTGGAACTTAATTTGTGTCTTACTACCATTGCTGACAAACAACTTTGTTGGTCTAATCATAAATTCTTTACTTGGAGGGACAGACCTGGCACCTTGTTAGCATGCAAGCTGACTCCCAGACAGCTCTCCCCAAACTCAGATTGGATAACAGTACATTATCCCAGGACCCTAGTAAGATCCTCCACAAATTTAATGCTTTCTACACTAAACTTTATAGCTCGCCCAAAGGGGGTTCTTCTTCTTCTCTTGACACCTTTTTGGGGTCTGTTTCGCTTCCCCCCCTCCAGGAGGCCCATAGGGAGATGATGGAACGGCCTATCTCATGTGGAGAAATCGGGAACGCTGTGAAATCTCTTGCCTCTCATAAGGCCCCAGGACCGGAAGGTCTTCCCAATAAGTATTATAAAGCTTTCCCTGATATTTTGACGCCCCATATGGCCCTCTACTTAATTATTTGCGGGACGGGGGAATGGTACTCCCAGATGAAAATAAGGCATTCATCGGTGTCATCCCCAAGCCTCTCAAGGACGCCACTATGGTTTCCAATTACCGGCCTATTTCCTTAATTAATTGTGATTTAAAGATTCTTACTAAAATCCTGGCCCTACGTCTCCATAAATTTCTGGCCCTATATATTCATGTTGACCAGTCAGGATTCATAAGCGGTTGACAAACATCAGACCAAATTCAACGGATATAGCTTTGCTGTCAGCTGTGCAGTCCAATTGGGACGGGTTTTCACAGAGGGAAATTCTACTACTGTCACTGGATATTCAGAAAGCATTCGACAGTCTATCTTGGGACTATTTGTTTCAGACGTTAGACAAATTCGGGTTTGGCCCTCATTTTACAACGCTGTTACGGGCCCTATATTCTACTCCGTCCGCTCAAGTTTCCATTCGTGGATATAAATCAGCTCCTTTTTTGGTAGAACAAGGGACTAGACAGGGATGTCCTCTTTCTCCATTGCTCTTTGCTTTGGCAATGGAACCACTTGCGATTGCTATTCGCGCTGATCCCACTATCTCGGGTGTCTACTGTGGTCAACGGGATCATAAATGCGCCTTATTTTCTGATGATGTTCTCATGTATGTATCTAATCCTCGAACATCTCTGCCTGGTTTCTTCCACTTGTTTCATCGGTTTTCTGAGGCCTCTGGTCTTACGCTTAACTCGTCTAAAACGGTTGCCTTAAATATCTCGTTACCCGATTCAGAGGTTCATTACCTCTGGGAAAATTTTGATTTTCAGTGGGCCCCTTGTTGTCTCCCTTATCTAGGGATTCACCTCATGAAATCTATATTGACGTTATACAAGACCAACTATCTCCCGCTTTTCAAACGACTTAAAAATGACTTACTAGACTGGCAGGATCTTTCACTTTCCTGGTTCGGTAGAATTAATTCTATTAAAATGACCTTTTTACCGAGATTATTGTACTATTTCAGGACTCTACCAATCATGGTCCCCAAACGGGAACTGTTATTACTACAAGCAGCAGTCTCTAGATTTAT